GGCATTGATGTCACTTACCTGTTTTGATTTGTTTGTGTTTAGACACATTTTGAAGTCAACAGGGAAGTATACACAACTTCTTGAGCTCAAATATTTCCTGGTTATTTTCTTTTATTTTCTAATAAACAAATTCATTTGCAAGTAACCACAATCAAGCAACCCAAGAAGAAAATACTTATACCATATTGGCATTTGAAACAGTTACTTAATTTGCAGTGGGTGTCTGTTGTCAGGTAGATCCTCAACAGCGTTTCTCATTTTCAGATCTACTTATTTATGTAATCTTTATGATTTACCGTGTCATAGAGAAGAATCCATTACAGTTTCTCCAAGTAAGTGAGATGCTACATTAGATAACCAAGTTTCCTGGAGCTGTTAGCCATATATATTGTAGATAAATTGTTTTTCTGGTGTTGTGAAGTCAAAATAAAGCTGCCAAAACAATAGCAGTATATCAATATCCTAAATTTCCTATTAAGTTCTCTTTGCCTGTAGCTCCTCCAGCTGAGGGGAACTGGGTTGAATGTCTCAAGAAAGTAACATTTCTAGCACCTTAATACAAAACAGTGCAGGGCCATATTGTGAAGGCAAAGCTCATGTGTCATGAAGAAAGTTTTATTGAATAAGAACTTAATGTCAATTGTGCTTTTCAGTTGTGGAAGCCTGTTGTTTATTGCAGCCCCATGTTTTGTGTAAGTTCCTTCCTCATTTACAATAATTCACATTGATAATCTTCTAGACTGACACTGCCACCACAAACGATAATTTACAACAGCTTCAACTCTGATCTTTCAGTGTTGGTTTTCAAGGACTAGAATCAAGATCTATTCACCACAAAGATATCTGGGAGGAAGTTAACTTACTATTAATATTAATGAATATTTATCTTCTATGGGTTAATTTGTTAAACAGAATTTTGGGGTTTTGATAACAGGTCAGTTTACATGACACCAAGCCTACTGGCAACAGAGGGAGTACACCTGTCTCAAAGGGACACAACGACAAGAAAGGCATTGAATTGCTGGAGAGCGTCCAGAGAAGGGCAACAGAGCCAGTGAAGGTTCTGGAGCACATGACAAGTGGCTGAAGGAACTGAGATTGTTTAGCCTGGAGAAAAGGAGACTCAGGGGAGACCTTATCATTCTCTACTATGTGGAAGGAGGTTGCAGCCAGGTGGGGGTTGGTCTTTTCTCCCATGTAACAAGTGATAGGACAAGAGAAAATGGTCTCAGATTGTGCCAGGAGAGGTTAAGACTGGACATTAGGAAACATTTCTTCACAGAAAGGGTGGTCAAGCATTGGAATAGGCTGTCCAATGAAGTGTGGAGTCACCATCCCTGGAAGTGTTCCAAAAAATGTGTAAATGTGGCACTTGGGTTTTTTGTGGTGAACACAGTAGTGTTTGGTTAATGATTGTACTTGAAAATCTTAGAGGCCTTTTCCAATCTTAAGGATTCTATGATTCTATTATTTAGTTCAGAACATTGAAAATGGTGCTATATGGGTGAAAAGAATCAGCAGTCATGTGCTCAATTAATTTCAGAGATAAACTTGGTTCTTTATGGTGAAACCTGAAAACAAAGAAACAGAATGGAGAGTGCATAAGCCAATGACAAGTGGCGCTTCTCTGTTCTCTCTAATAATGCAATAAAGAGATGTTCAGCTTCACCTTCTCCTGCATTGCTCTTTCTATGCAATGGAGTGAACCTCTTCAACTTGCTACTTTCTTTCTATCCAGACTAATATGGAGATACTAATGGAAGTTATTGACACTAAGGGGTGTAGTAGCATCTTGCCACTGAAGAGCATTCATGGAAGCTGAGTGCACGACTTCCCAGCAGAATGAGAGAATACACAGCAGAATCATATTTTTCTTTCAGTGTAAGAAAACCAGGAATAACCAAGGCATTACAGATTGCTAACATGCTTGCTTTTTCCAAGTTATAGCATGTAAACATATTCTTTAGTTTTCTATTTTTTTAATACAAAACCTGCACTACTCTTGCTCGTGATCCCTGAAAAATATGTGGTTTGTGAGATTGTCTCTCAAAACCACTCACGTAAATTCATGATATGAGCAGCAACAGCAACAGCAGCTTCAATAAGTCTCTTTTCTGGCACCAGCTCTTCCCTCTCTGAAAGTATAACCTTAAAGGCCAGTAATCCTCCTTGAAGAGGGCTGAGTGTGAGTGGGTGATGCCGCTACCCCCCTGCACCAGCTGCCTGTGTTGCCTTTGCGGCGGGGTTGCACTCCCCGAGCAGCACAGCTGGTGCTTCCCTAACATTCACTGTGGAGAGGTGTGGCAATGCTGCTGGAGAGCCTCCCTCGCCCCTGTGCCACCAGGTGTGGCTGGATCTCCCTTTCCTCAGGCTGCTCCACAGGGTCACCTCCTTGCTGAACCAGCACAAAAATTCTGCACTTACACACTGCAAACAGGCTTTCAGTCTAGCCCCTGTCCTCCTTCGCAAGCCAGCCCCAGGTACAGAGTCTGTACCAGACAGTTCCCAAGGCAGGCCGGTCAGTAGAGCCTGCTGGGCTCAGGCCTCCTGCACAAGAGGGTGAAGTAGCTGCCATCCCCATTAGGTGAGGACTGTTGTGCTGCAATGCCTCAGCCCATGTGCAGAGCACAGCCCCTCCTCAGCCAGCCCTTTACAACTGCTTTTTCAAAGGGCCTCTTGCTTGCCACTGCTCTCGTGTTGCTAGCTGCTCTCACCCAGCAGGCACAGCAGCCTACTGAGATCTTTCCTTGCATTTTCCATGCAATGCTATATGTTAGATAAGCCTTAAATTGACTGCACCTACTTCAGTAAGTAGCTTGAAAGTGTAGCATATCACAGAAAAGAAAACCCTTTTTTCCATTAAATTAGATGTTAGGCATAATGCAAGCAGCTTTCTCCTTCATCTACACCCAGATTTCATCATGGAAGTCAATTGGAGCTGCATCTTTACAATTAAGAAAATAATTTAACCCAGTTAGGTGTTATAGAACAGACTTCAGTGGATTGCACTGACTGAAGAGAAAGCAGAATGTTACCCATTGAATTTACTATCATGTTTGTTTTGGGAGCTAAATTATTCTTCCTAATTCTGCTAGCAGTGTAATATGCTGTCTCAGTAATGGAAAGCATATGAAAGCAAGCAGATGGTGAAAGCAGAAAAAAATCCCAGCATGTCCTGATAATGTAGTAAGCAAGTTCATTTTTTTGGCATTAGGCTTTCATAACCAAGGCATGGTGATAACAAGTACAGACACATTTTTAGAGCACAGTTCATCAAAAAATACAGCCAGTTTCATTGCAGGGCAATGGAAGATTACTTTTTGAGACTTCTATATAGATAAAACTGAGATGTGAATGTTGTTGAATTAGACCCATGATTTATTATTACTAGAAGATGAGTGACAGAACAGATACTGGTCAGAGTGATTCCATCACAGCTCCTGTGTTCTCTCATATTGCAAATGTAGAGTCTTTTGCCCATTGATTTGTAAATATGCAGCCATCCTGCATTACAGAAATACCACAGACCCTTCAATATAGGTTGTGATCACAGAGGACACTATTGGAAATTAAAAATATTTTATTTTCCTTTAAAAGTATGCACCCTCCAGATTGAAATTTTGAAGTATGAGGATGTTGCTTCTTGGAAATCTGTGTATATCTGCAGTACATGAAGCTCCCAGTCTGACTCCAGCAGCCTCTTGCTTCTCCTACCCACATGTCCCATTCTTTCAGAACAGAAGGCAGAACAGCCTCAGTGGGAAAAACACCCATTTGTTTAGCAAGCCTGAGAAAACTGAGACAACCTTGAGTCACTGGCTGAGCAAAAGACCCTGAAAGTGGTTTCTGGGGAGGATACTATCCAGCCTGATGACCTTCAGACTACATTTTTGAGTCTCAGGACAAAACATGGGTGGAAACAATGCCAGATTCACCACTTATCATTTTAAGATTTGTCAAAGAAGGGAAAATTAATCTTTGTTATGATTTTTGTTTGAAGCAATGAGGCCACATCTTCATGTAGCTGTAACCTGGACCAACCTGCAGTTTACAGGAGTTTGTTTCAGACAGAACAAGCAAGAAGGAGACATGAAAACCACTGTGGCGGTGCTGAGTTCAAATGCCAGTGTACAATTGTGAGGAAAAATCCAGATCTGACCTCACTGATCTCTTCTGTTGGGAAAAGAGGTGAAGAGAGACCACCCCATTTCTCATTAAAATATCTAGTTGGTTACAATCCTTTTTTTATTTTTTTTCTTTCACTAGTACAACACACTGAGTAATGTGAAGGTTTCATTTTTTAAAAGTATATATCATATGTACTGGTTCATTGTTGATTTGAAGAAAAAAAGGCAAAAGTGTGGTTTTGATTGTTTGATCCATCTGAGGACCCTGTGTATTCTGCTTCCTGAGGAAAGTTTTCTCCCTTTATGAATTTAGTAATGACTTGCTGATTTAACCTCCCAGGAGGTTTCTTCCAGATTGCTTTTAGTATCTTTGGGACTTGGTGGTGACATAATTCAGATTTCTTTGATGTCCTCATGTCCCCTTCATTTCATTACTTGGGCAGGACATGGAACAGGGAAGAAATGGAATTGATAGTCTTGTCCTCAGGTCACAACTGTTTTCCTGCTCCTTTGCCTGTGACACAATTTTTCCTGATGTCACCTCCCCTTTCCAGGTCTTGGACACATGGTAGAGCAGGCAGGTGACCTTTGCTGCCAGGGTCAAGTGGCTTTGACAGCCTGAGCTGGGGCAAAGCCTGAACCTTTCTCCTGGCAGAGCCTTGGGCAGGAACTGACCTGGGGATGGGCCCCAAACCACCTGCTCTGACCCCCAAGCCAAGGCAGTGATGGGCTGGGCAGAGCCCCTGGCTGAAATGGCTGTCAGGACACTGGCAGCAGATCGTGTCAGAGTATCACCTTCCTCTGCTGTGCTGCCACTCTGTAATCCCTGCATCTCTTACAGGACAAGAGCCTGAGGTCCCTCCTGCAGAGAACTGAGACCTTGATCCCAAATTGCTTAGGCTAAGCTCAGAAAGCCTGTTTTCAAAGCAAAGACTGCTCTCTGTGAGTAAATTTTCCTTTCAATTTTTCCTTGAAAATCCTGCAGCAAATGGCTTTAAATGCAGTGTCTGTGTGTAACTGCTCTTTTTGGTGCGTTTCCCGTAATGAGCCATAACATATGTGTGTGTCTTTACACACCTCGGAACAATGCTATGCAAGCATTAGGGGATTTTTCTAACAACTAGTGAATGTGCTGCTTTTCACAGCTCACCCAAACACTCCTGCCTGATAAGCCTGCCTGCAGAGGGACGTTATCTGTATTTCTAGGATCAGCGGAAAAGAGAAAGAAAAAAAGTGGGAGGCATATCTGAATATTTTAAACTGCTAATTCTGATGCAAGCAAGTCACATAGGAGACACTTCTTGGATGGGGAAGCCTGAGGAGGTGTGTTTGTGGAGCTGTAACACCGTCCAGAGAAGGAAGTTCAGTGAGAAGTGCAGAACCTTGAACTCTCTGCTGTTTCCTACCTCTGTGCATCCTTGAGTGAGCTGTTCTGTTTCTCCCTCTGGCAAGCAAAATACTGGTATATCCTCCAGTATAGACATCCTCAGACATTCTAATGCACAGTAAGTGAAAACCACAGCAGCATCATATGTACCTTGCACATGTGTATAACAGTGCAGGAGCAGTATTCACCCCAATGATGTCCTGTCTCCATTAGCACAGGGAAGTGCAGCATGCAGATGGTCAATAGTCATCACTCCCCACGGCACGAGCAGCACCTCCAGAGCTGTGCAGACAGGGTGCTTTCCCTGACCCTGACTTCACCTGAGCCCCTAACTCCTGAACTACTCTAGTCAGAAATGTTCTATCCCTGGGGCTCAGAAAATGTCTTTCTGAAGAGTAAGAATTTTGCTGTTTCTGATTTTTACCTGAAGCAACCCAGCCTGCACTAGCTAACAGGCATTTTTCAGATGGATCTTTAGGCCAGGTCCTTCATATTTCAGTATAGAGCTGCACTGTTATTCAACACATTGCATTTTCCAGGAATAGACATTTCCAGGAAAATGTAGCTGGATGTTTTTGCCCAGTGGTCGTTCTTCCATCTTTGGTTGCTGTCAAAAGCAAAAGATCTTGCTGTAATCCACCTTCCTGGTGAGGATGAGCCTCTGAGACAAGTGTTCCTGCAGAAGTGAGGCAGGAAGCAACACTTGAGAACAGAGGACTGCATGGCTGGAAGGCATGCTTGCTGAGCAAAATATCACGTGTATCTCTTTTTGAAAAATCATCTAAGTCAAATTCTGGCTTCAGCAGGCACACAGCACCAACCTCCTGACTATGCCCAATGCTAGCACCAGCTCCACAGCCCTGCCCCATTCTCACCTGGACCATGTTACTCTGTGCAGAGATTTTTGTCTGCACTGAAGTCAGGAAATCCTGTTATAGTTCCCACGACAACCATAAATCCAGGTATTCTGAACAAATAATGTAAAACAAGTAGTTAGTTGCACAAGTGTTTCTCAGTAGATGCATGAGAGATCCAAAGGTACAGCAGGCTTGGAGGTCCTGTCTGCAACCTCCACACCTGCCCCTGCAAAACCAGAGCATAGCTGAAAGAGGGGCTTGGGGGTGAAACCTTTTGATAGCTGATGGCAGGCACCAGATGTTCTGGGGAAGATGTGAAGTTTCTTGTGACTTGAGGCTATAATCCTGGTATTGGAGAAGGTGGCAACCACACTGTATGTCAGAATCAGTGAGCAGCAGGTGTCTGCATGTGTCCACAGCAATGCAGGCTGAGTAGCATCCTCACACAACACCATGTCTTCTGCTCTATTTATTGCTCTTACGTGGACCTCATAATTTTGGTAGGCAAGGGCTTCACACTTGTTAACATTTATCTCTGCAGAGGCTCTGTGAAGTAAGGAAGAACTGTTATCCCCATTTCACAAGAGAAGACTGAACCAGCAAGAGGCCATACATCCACCCCAGGGTCTCAGAGAGTCTGCAGCAGTCTGTGCCTCCCAAGTCTGGGGGTCATAACCTCATTTTCCAGTAGTGACAGAACAGATACAGAACCAAAAATTCACAAGTAAATAAGTGCCAGGACCCACTGGCTGGAGTCCACAGGCTGTGGCCTCCTGTCTCCAGCAGCGTTCATATTTTCCTCTGTTGTTTCAAAAATTTATTGTAGCGTTATCTTGTCTATTCTAAACAATAGTCCCTCTTGCTCTTGAGAGTTGTACTGTGTGAGGGAAAATGTAGAAAATTGTTATTATCCCCAGTGTTTGGGTGCAGACACAGAGGGGTGGATGCTCCACAGTCAGGACCCTACCATCCCTTTGCTACCCCAGCCTCCACTCTCTGTCTGCAGTTGCACAGTGCAAGAACCACCATCAGCCCCCCAGTCCCTCCCCACCTGTTTCAAGGCTGTGCTCCTTTCCTAAGCACAGGAACTCTGATATCTCTCGAGTGACAAGGACGTGTGTGGCGTCAGTGGCATCAGTCCAGATACATATTAATGTCAGAAGAGAGAAAAAACTGTGTCCCACATTCTGAGATGACCCACCATAAAGATCCAAGCTGTGATGTTCCTGACTCTGGATATGCTGTCTCTTAAAGCAGGTAGGAGTTCAAATCTCCAGCTCTGATTCAGTTCTATCCACTAATAAACCCCCCAGGTGTTACTGGAAGTACTATCGATGTCTGCTGTGGCATGTGAAGTGTGCATCCCTTGCCCCATTGCCTTAAAAGCAGTAAATCTCTGTTTATCTTGACTGTTACTTAGTAATGAAAACCAGTGGCTAAATCAGGAAAGAGGCTAAACGACAACTTGCTCCACACCCTATATAAGTCAGGCAGATAGCTGCAAAGCCCTTATCGGTTCCACATGACTGGGTCTATCCAGAGTGGTTGAAACAGGCCAGCATACAGCACTTTGTCACCCTGGCATGTCCAAGCCATCCTGCTGCTGACCACCCAAGGACACATGGGTATTTCTTAAGTTTCCACAGTGATTAGACACAGCAACCTGTGACAGTTTATGAACAAACAGCAACTCTATTTAGTCATGCCTTAAAATTTGGTAAATGTCCTATGCAGTTATCTCAAAGCATTTCACAAACCTGGTCCTTCTCTTGATTCAGAAATTCATTGCAGTGGGTAATATGGCTTCATAGGGATTTGTTTGTGTTTTCCATTTCCCACTGGCAAGTTGGGAAGAAGGCTATTCAGCCATTTTTGTGAAGAGGTTTGGGAGCTCTGCAAGGAGAGTGCTGTTTAGGTATCAGCTATCAGTAGCAGCCTGTCACACTGAATTCAGCAAGGGAATGGATGGCTCTGCTGCTGCAGCACTCATGGAGGACTCAACTCCCAGATGAATTAAGACTCTGTGTCACTGAGTCTTTTTGCAAATTCCTGCCTCACCTGTAAAATGGAAACAAGAATGTTTCTCTGATTGCACGAATTTGAAGAGATACTACATTAATGGTACTGAGACCATTACCACAAAACAACACCATGCAACAAATAATTCTGCAATAGCCACACACAGAGCATTCATTTGCATTTGTATTCAACAGACTATTAAAAGAGCTGGACTATTAACACCTCTACTCTAGGGCAAAATGCTTGGAGATCACATCCAGACATCCAGGTATCTGCTGAATTTCATGGGGTGTGGTGTCCAAGTTTGGGCTTGAATGTAGATTGCACAGCTAATTCCTACTTAATTTATATTAGCCTGGACCTCAACATGAATGCCAGCCACTGACTTATTAGGAACCTCTATCAGCTGCCCATGTTGTGTCTTGGGTCTGTGTCTTGAAATTACTCTATTGCCTGCTGCAATCTACTCTTAAGCTGGAGATTTGTTTCTACAGGAGGCAGGGAAACATGTCGCCAAACTACTCCCAGTCTTTTCCAGGATTACAAATTAGGGAATGGTGGGTAGATCTTGTGATTTCCATCCTACAATTCAAGCCAGATGGGCTAGCCTTGCAGCATAAGCATTTAAGCAAGAAAAGCAAAAAATTGGAAGAAGTTCTGTTTCCTGATTAACTGTGTTATTATGACTTACACTTTTTAACAAGGTGCACATAAAGCTAATTTACAAGATAACTTGATCACTGTCTTTGATTCATCCCAATAAAATGTGGAGGTTTTTTTTTCTGCTGTACAATACTCTAGCCCAACTGCTTGTAACAGGTACAAAGACTAGTATCTGTGACCTTTCCCTCTTGAGAAAAAACAAGGTGAAGACATAAAATGCAGCAGCTGTTACATAGCCAGAGCCATTGGGATGTGAATAGGATAGGAATTGTTGCAGGAAGTGAGAGGGAGGATTTAACCTGAATCAAACCTCAAGACAAAAATTATGAACCCACAAGCGCACACTGTATTTTGTTTGTTGCTACCATGCTGTTTACTCACAGTTCCTTAATTTTGATACAGGTATCAATACCTGAAAAGTATTGGATGTGTGGCTGGCATACTGAAGTAATAGAACACTGGTAAAAATCTTCATTTACCCTTTACATACATGAAAGACAGGACAGTATCAGAAGCAGAGACAAAAAAAGAGACCCAGATAATTAGATGGAACTCATCTCAGAACTTGAAAGCCAGTGAAATAACCAAGATGCTGTGAAAAAATATCTGCCGTAATTAAAATGGCTGATTGGTGAGAGCTGCAGTGAAGGCCAGTGTATGGGGCCATGCTAAAAACATTGCTGGAAGGAGCCAGATCTACATACCTGGGGAAACCCAAAGCCAGAGGAAATTACAGGAGAATTTTAAATCACAGGCTTGCAGGATGAATGCTTAGCCTCAATGGCACACAGCAAACTAGCACAACACCAGAGCAGATCTGAAGCTCCCCTTCCACAGCCCTGGGCACCAGTAGACTAAAATTGACATTATTTGCTCAAGTCTCATCTTGGAAGGTTGTCCAGAACAGCCATCATGGCAGGTAAAGCCACAGGTTTTGACAAATCTCAAAGTAATAGAGATTAATAGATTAATGGTCTGATTTTCACTCTTTTGACTTTCATGCATGTGCTATTCTACCCAGGTCTGAGACACTGTGGCAGCCCGAAGCCCCTCAAGCAGACTTGGGGATGGAGTGGCTGAATTTGCTGAGGTGGCAAAGAGGTCTGGGAGATCTGTCAGCACAGTTGCAGAAGTCGCTTGGAGCAGCATCATAGCACTTTCTGACTGTTCCTCAGCCACAGTGAAGTGGGATGCTCTGTATTTTTAATCCATGTCTATGTTAAATATTTGCTTGAACCACCTGAGGAAGTGGCCTGTACTGAGCAGGGTTACCTTTTGCTGAGATTGGTGCTGTCACACAGGGCATTGTGGTGATTCAGCAGTGTTGCTTCAGAGACAGAGCAGAGTTGCACCAGGGAGCAAAAGCCTTAACCCTGCTCAAGTCAGATGTGGGAAAGTGCAACTGCCTGTGCTCAGCAGCATGGTGAGGGGAGGGCAGAATGAAGGATGCCACACTGAGAAGGATGAGAAGTGGGAGAACCACAGAGAAGGGAGAAGACCTGGGAAGCAGATGCTGATGTGAATAAGGAGGTATAGTGAGCATCCCTATGTTTCAGGCTAGATCTAGAACAGCCAGAAAAACTGATTGAATTTTTGTGGTTGCAACCAAAGTAAAAACCTGTAACTGCTGAGTAAATTGGAGGATGACTGATCAGAGAACTGAAAAGAAAAACTAATTTTACAAAACATTGAGAACTATCATGCTTCCTAATAATTCCTTCAGAGAGATAGCTAGCTAACTTTGGACAACATAAATGTTTTCTGGTGGTTTTACATTATTCTAAATTCTGCTTCTCAATACTTACCATTTTTGGTTTTTTTATTCCCACTAACCATAAAGCATATGCTGTCTTATATCCTGGTTGCATGAGATTAACAGATAACCTTATTTTTCACAGTCAGTTTTCAGCATTTCTGCCACTGAAGATCCTCTTCTACAGCTTCAAGTCGAAAAAACCTTTGTGGCAGATTTGGTATTGCCTGTAATAATTTATGAATGTGATGTGTTGACATGTTTATTGTGTGCATACATTGAGCTACTTCAATAGCTGGATTGTCAAGATGTGTACCCAGGAGAGAGAAGATGGATCCAGGCATACATTTTTGAGGAAGCACTTGGGAAACAAAGCAAGTGCTCCTCACTGTGATGTTTTGGCTGGGCCCCTGTTAGGCTCACTGGAGAGATTTCCCTGGGAGAAATGTGGGCGCCTGCAAAAAAAGACATGAAAGACCCCAGAGAATTGACAGAGGACCATTTAAACAGATGTTTTTGTGAGCAAGATTCTAAAAGGGGTAGAAAGTGCTCAGATCTGTAGATGTTTAATTTAGTAGATGCTGGCAAGGCTACAAGAAAAAGTGCATGTGAAATATTTTTTAACCAACATGCTTTATTTCATTGGTTAAGTGGCTCTTCTGTTTTAAAAATGTTTCAGTCATGCGGGAAGGCTGAAGGTCTCCTATGTATGTGTGTGCTTGGAAAATGTATGGGGTATGTAGGCTGGAGCTTGTGTTTGATATAGTATGTGGGAATCAGATTATCCCATGCATGGAAAGGTAAAAGCTTAAGGCCTACTATAAGCAGAAGGCAAGCCAGAAAGATCACTGGCAACCAGAGACATAACAGTAACCATCGGAAGAACATCACCTTTCTTATAAGTCCTTACATATAGTTCTACTAATGACTTTTATTAAACATTTAAGCCTTAGCATTCAAGAGATTCGTATTTGTTACAAAAAAGCTGTCCCATTAACACAAAGAACAAGCTGGAACAAAGCTAATGAGCCTTAATACTTGCAGGATAATTCAAAGTTTAAAGGTGGTATTAACAAAAATAAAATAAGAAAGAGTGGAAAACTACAGTTTCATTGTTCACTGGAGAACCTGAGTTTTTTTCTTTTGGATCATAAAATTAAATCTATTGCTCAACTCTTACACTGTTACTAAAGTAGTGCAAAAACACATATATATGTATAATTAAGTACCCCTATGTGACCATAAAAGGTCTCACTGGCTGTTCAAGGGGAAGGCGAGTGGGATTTGTTGCAGCAGCATGAAAGAGGGAATGGCATTACGGTAATCTTCCTGCATTGCTTTACTTTGATGGGGCTCAGCCTTATGTGGTAGAGTGATGGGGTGTACAGCAATGGCAACTGTGTTCCAGTGCACAGTCTGGGCTGTGTGTCCTGTGCATCTGAGACATAACAGAAAATCGACCAGGAACTGCACAGATATTTATCCTATGGAAATCATACCTCAAATCAGACAAAAAACCTGAGGCATTGGGTATATTAGACATACCTGAAAAGTTACGTGAATTTTTTATTTATTTGCTTTCTGGTTTTGCAAAGTCAGATATGAATGGTAAATGGGTAAGTGGAAAAAAGTCACTGAATCCTGTCTTGAAAATGTGATCTAGCTTAAAGCACTGGCATTTTAATATTTGTGTTCAAATGAAGAGACCAAAGAAGTTCAAGAAACAAACAGGGTAATCAGCACAGCTATAAAATGACATTTTGGAAGTGACAAGTGAGCAGTTGTACAGTGACCCACCTGTACAATCTCCTACTACAGCTATGCTCAATTTCATGTCGCCCCTTTAGCCACACCACCTGTCCTGGGAGCTCCCCACACATCCCAGTCTTGATTTTACTTCCAAAAAATTTTGCAAGTAAAAAAGGGAATGGATATCAACATAACACAGTGGAGTTGTGGGGCAGGGCACACACAGGAGTACTGTTCACATCTCATGCAACACCTAGCTCCACTCCTTGATAAATAATCACATCTTGCTACAGCAAGACCTTGAAGATGCACAAGGGGTTTTATAAATGGACTTAGAGCTACTCAGTAGATGCAGTCAAGCTCCTTTTGAGCTGCCTCCCCCGTGAGACTGGAGCCTTTCCCAAGGGGAATCCCTGTGGCAAAGGGCCTCTCATCTGTTTGACCCTGAAGCAAGCACCACACTGTGCAGGCAGCAGAGAGGAGGCAGCAGGGACATTTTTTCCTGAGGTAGAAGAAGAGTCACCTGTGCCCTGGGGCTGCTCTGGGGGCTGCAAACTTGGGCCAAGAGACAGAAATAACACAGGAATTGTTAGCTGGAAAGCTTGGATTTACAAACTCTCCAGAAGAACAAGGCTTAATGAAAAACTCCAAAGAAAATTAGATACAATGGACTGATGTAGACATCAGAAAACTTCTACAGTATAAATCATAAATTCTCCCCAGTTTGGAGAGAGGTAAGAATTTCATCTCCATTAATTTAATCCGGCAGATAGAGATAACAAAGCAGCCTCTACATGGGAGAGTTAACATTGCTTGGATTGATACAGAGAGACAAGATGCACTTGCAGGCATAGGAAAAATGCATCTCTGAGAAAATTTCCACTATTAATATTTTTCCCTTGCAAATGTGGGTCTTCTAAAACACTCTTTTCTTTTGGAAGGATCTAAATGAGGAGGAGGTGGGAAGTAGAGCTACAAAGCATGTAAGAAAGCCTCAAATACATGAGTGGGAGGAAGGAGGAAGAAATGAAAGAATAATGAAGCTTGCATCACTGAAAGCAAACAACAGAAGAAGGGAAATGCACGTACTTGTGGCTAAATTTTGAAGGAACTTAGGCTGAGGTTTCAAATGGCTATGGTTAGCATAGATGCAGGCACAGAGTAATTCAGATGACCTGATCAAAGAACAAAGAGATGTTAAAACTGATTTAATTAGGAAAAATTCCTGCCTTAGAGTTAATGGGTAAGCACAGGAAAAGATGCCTTGTTTGTATTGTTGATATGAAGTGGTCCTGAGTAGGGCACTACAGCACCTGTAGTATCCAGGCTCATTACAAGACTTGGGCATTGCTTCCATGGGGCCGAGATTTTACCCTTCATGGAGTCTGTCTATTTGCATCTGTGAGATTTCCTTATGTGATGATCTTGCAAACAGGTATCTATATTTTTAAAAAGAGTTAATAGAAACCTTGTTATTAATGTGGTGCCCAGGGTCCCCAGCTCTAGCTGCATCAACAGCTGAGCCCAAATGTTCAGCTACTCCTGGAGTGTTGTCACTAAAACTAAATCAGGCATTTCTACTTTGGGAGCTTCTCCAGTGGCCATTTCTCCAATGGCTACCCATCTGAACCAGGAAACAAGCCTGGAAGAGGAGCCTGGGGTTGGATTCATTCCACACCTTCTGATTTTTGTCTGTGCTTTGCTCTAAGGGCATTCACCAAGCCAGGCTGATCTAGCTTGACACAGTCTTCGAAAATTTTGCATAGCTTTTGCAGAGCAGTCAGTAGAAAACTTTCAGCTGAACTGAACGAGGAACCTGTGTGTCTTACACAAGAATCCTGTGGGATGGGATTGTCTCTGTGTCACCAAAACCACCTACAAAATGAAAACTGTAACTTTCCTCAGGAAACCCCAAGGCTTTATATTCACTTTGGAATAAACTGAGCCCATCCATCTATTGAAGAGGCGAGCATCAGGGAATCAACAGGAGGTTTTGCCATCTGCACAGACGAGCAGTGCTCAGGGATATATCTAGGACCAAGATGGGGGCAGGGAGAAGTTTCATGCCAGCAAGTTTTACAAATGGAAAGATTTCGCTGCTACTCCAGCCTATACTGGCTTTTCAGAATCAGCTTGGAGACAGCAAGAAAAAAGGGCAGAGGAACAATTTTCCATTTTCTAGTAAAGCTGTATTTGATACAGACAGAAAACTCCATTCCTTCTTTTTTCAAATCTTGTCATCAAAATTCAGAGTTGATACTTTTTGTACATTGCTGTGCAGTATGCTGGTGCAAATATCCTTGTGTCGTGCCCAGAGCAAAGCATGCTGATGTAGGGTTGGCAGTCCAGTAGAGTACTGGAGTTTGGGTAGGCAGGAAAAAGAATTGGGAGGATACAGCTGTCATTCTATGTCTATGTCCAAGCTTTGTGTCCAGGAAAGAATGTATCCCTCAGGGGAAAAGAAAAAAAATCTCATCCCATCCTGAACCAGCCAGTCCCACATTATGATAAATTGAATCTAAAAGGATAAACTAGACTTTTCCTATAATCACTACAGCAGTAGCATATACCTTGCCATTCTACAGGGTTGGTTAGAGAAAGCTAACTTAAAATTAATAATTAAATGCCCATTACAGGCTTGACAGTCTCCAAGTGTGTGGCAGCACGGATCGCACCAGCTCCCTCTGAGATCCTGCCAGGCTTTGCACTTGCAGACGGGCCTGGGTTCAGCCCAAAGCTCCCCCTCACCTGCTTTCCCGGCAGCAAGGCAGGACCAGCAGCGGGAGGAGAGCGGGGGGGAGCGCTGCAAAGGGGCAGAGGAGCGGGCAGGAGGAGGCAGGTGCACCCTTGGCATTTCAGGCTCTTCCGACTTGGGAAGGTTTCTCCGTTTTCAGCCGTAAACACGATGCAAGGAGGTGTCAGGCCTCGCTGAGGCTTCCGGCGGGTAAGGCGGTAAAAAAAGAACAGTTTTAGTTCTGCATGTCTCGTTTTTCAACGTGTAAAAGACCGGCTCCGGAGGCACGAAGGCCGTTCCCAGTCGCAGCGCGACGGCCAAGGCAGGCAGCCGAGGCGTGTGGGCGCTCACCGGGGGCTGTGCCGGGGAGGGCCGGCCCCGGTGGGACAGCGGGCCCGAGAGGGAACCCCTGACGGAAAAGAGACAGAACGCGTGGCACCCGCGCCCTCCGCTCGAGCCTGCTGCATCCCCGCTCACCGGCAGGAAAACACCCCCGAAGGGAGCCGCACCTCTCAGTCCGCCCCCGCAGCTCCCCGCTCCCGAAGTTTCCTTGG